TATTGCAATAATAGATTGAATTAATGCCCATGAAAAACATGGTACATTAATTGTTTGAAATTTATTGAAAAAGACATTTTAAAATTTTTTTATCACATACAAGAAACATACAATTTGTTTTTAAACAAAATAATTTATAATCCAAAATATCAATACCCACTGAAGTTAGGCTACTAAATATTACCTCCGAATTCTCTGGTAAAAATATCATCTACAATACATGTGTAATAGAAGTGACTTGGAAACAAAGCTTACAAGGCTAATCAACACAGAATTCCTTTTACAAAGGCAAAAGGTTCTTCATCAAAAAATGATTTTTCTTATTGTAAATCTGTTGATTAGAAGTGGGGTTTGCAAAGCAATGATGCAAAATTTATTAACAATAATTGTAGTTAAAATGGATTGATATTATTATGAAAACAATAAGTATTTTTATTTTTTTCTTGTAAATTTATATTATAACGATTTTTTCAACAAAATAACATACTTTTAAATGTATTGTTCATTTATAATCCTACAACGTAGGCCTATACTTTTAATGTCTTAGTTACCTGTGTTTCAATCCACAAATATTTTTTCCAATTGATGAAAATTAGGCTGGATTTTTTACAGATGCATTATATTTTGAATACATTGTATGAGTAATTGAAATAATCAAATTTTACTATGGCATGGATCCTTGATTGAACACTACTATCGTTCACTCTTCGGCTTGTACTGTTTTTCGTATGGTTGCTAATGTCTAATAAATAGCCTAATGATAAAGTTTCCGAGCCTCCCCCCCCCCTCTTTAATAAACAGTCAAAACCTGGATGTAATTTGTAAATCTTCAATTTTTAAAAAAAAATTGAAGAGAAAATTGAATTTTTCTTTAATTATTAACTTTGTAACAATTCGCAATAATAATAACTTTAATATCAGAAGAGTTTTTATTTATTTGATGAGTGGATTTAAAATTTAAAACCAGAAAAGAAAATGAAAACAATTAATTTTTTGCTTTGTTACTGTAAAAATTATTTTGCTTTATTTTCACTTTATTTTTTATCACATATTGTTGCGTTTTTTTCGAAAAATATAAAAAATTTTTTCCACCAGTTAAGATTTCCCAAGGTTTTGCCTGATTTTCAAAATTATTCCCCAGATCCCAAAGAGGGGGGGGGGGGGGGGTCCGTGAATTCCCAAGATCTTGGGAAATTTCCCAAGGTGTGGTAGCCCTGATGGACACATGAGTTACGGTTCTTTCGGCTTTACTGTAAAAAACTAGAAAAAGTCAGAAATGACGGAACTATAATTGATTTGTCTAATTATTATTATTTTGTTAAATACAATTGTTTATGCGTATCAGCTTCCATTGAACACAGCTACTGTTTACTTTTAAAACTGAGATATCAGTGGTTTTGGTTGTTTAGTTTTTTTTTCAAAGAAAAATATTACAGATCTTCTCTAACGTAGAGTGAAAATACGAGCGAATTCTTCAAAACAGTCTTAAAAATAGGAGAGGGGCATATATATTCGTAAAATACCGTCTTTCAAAAAGGGTCGCTCAAGTTTAAAAGGTTTATAAAATAAATACTATTTTTAGTTTAATTAATTTGGATAGAAGTTTAGTTAAGCATCTGTTGAAAAGCGGTGTTGGACAAGAGCAAGATGCAAATTGACAGTTCTTACTGGTCTCTCTCCAATTAAATTTAAATATATATGTTTTAAAATAGCTGTTGATGGCGGAGCAAAGGTCCTCCATAGAAGGTGGAAGCGGGTGCAATACAATTGGGGGTGGGGTAAGGAAATGCTCTACCCCTCCTACCCCATTTTTAATTATTTGTTTCTTTTTGCCAAAGCAAACAAGAACCACGCTGCTGGTCCAATGAAAACCAATGAGTCACCCTTGCAACCAGTGAAGCATCCCATTGAAACCCATGCACAGTAACCTCGCAAACCCCTCTGAAACATATTATAGGAGCCAGAATGATCAATTCATTGATCGTGGGCCCTCAATATAAAGAAGAAGAAGAAGAAAACAAATACCTTTCCCAAAATCAAAGTCTATATATTAAATATTTTAAAGTGTACATTACATGTTGTCCACAGCAGTCATAAATGTATTCCATTTCACCAGTTAAATATGTACGTGCTCGGGTCAGGAGCTGGTTATCGTGCTATGTAGCATATCTGTTTGTATTGCTCTGTAGCATATCTGTTTGTATTGCTCTGTAGCATATCTGTTTGTATTGCTCTGTAGCGTATCTGTTTGTATTGCTCTGTAGCATATCTGTTTGTATTGCTCTGTAGCATATCTGTTTGTATTGCTCTGTAGCATATCTGTTTGTATTGCTCTGTAGCGTATCTGTTTGTATTGCTCTGTAGCATATCTGTTTGTATTGCTCTGTAGCATATCTGTTTGTATTGCTCTGTAGCATATCTGTTTGTATTGCTCTGTAGCATATCTGTTTGTATTGCTCTGTAACAACAGTAGGCCTAACATATCTGTTTGTTTTGCTCTGTAACGTATGGAGGCGTCCATTAATTATGTCAATAAAATAGGAGGGGTGGATTGCTTGACAGTTGTTGACAGTGGGAGGGGGGGGGGCTAGATTAGTTGTCGTCAACAACATTGTTTTCTCTATTAAAAGTTTAGACTTCTTATTACGTTAAATTTTTTTTTTAATGTATAAATGTAAATGGGTGTAAATTAAAATAGTTTATATACTTTTTAGGCTTTTAACAATACAAGTATAAGATTTATTTAATGTTTGTCTGTCTTTGCACTGCAGACGGCTGGTCAGAATGTTAGCAAACTTTGTTAGTGCAAGAGAAGTCAAAAGTTGGTCTCTCTTCCCCTGTAGATTCTGTTTGTCGCAAATGTGCGATATGTTTGCGATAATGGTGCAGGTATGGAACAAGGAAAAGGTGCGTGTGTCATGTGCAGTCAAGATAACTGATATTGATGGAATAGGGATACGATATTTTGAGAATAAGTAAAGTCAGTAACAATAATAACATCGCTGCTTGAACGGATTTGCAAAATGTGCAACATCTATGTTGCATCACAAGTCATGTTGAAATAGCATGTACAACAGCACGGCCAATGCCCTCTTGAACATAAGAAATTAGCACCTGCTACTCCACACACAAAAAAAAAAAGGATTCAACCAATGCGAGTAGCTGCCAGGAGACAAAGAGAGCTAATGACATGTGCTTACACCGACAATGTTTCTATTTCAAGTGCTGAATAGTTAGATGAGGATGATGTTGACTTGTCTGGAATATCAGATCCTCAAGATGCAAATGATAAATAAGATACTATAGACTATCCCTATCAGGGGCGTCATTTCATGTTGGGGGGGGGGGTGGGGGGGGGGGGGGGGAGGGGAACCAAACCTTGGTCGGCTTGTAAAGTTGTTTGTTACTGGAGGCACACAGTACATAGCATTCTAAATAAATCCTGCAAATGCCCCCCTACCCTACCCAAAGATGTCCCTGGTGCCCATTGTTACGATAGTAATATAGTCGTCAGCTATACTGATAATAGACATATTTATACCAAAAAAACTATGATATTTAATTTAGTCTTTAACAACCTTATAATTGATTCTGCATTATAAAATTTAAGTATAAAATTTTTTTAACTTGTTGATAAGGTGTAATAACATTTTTTTCCTACAATTTTGTGTCATTAAAATGGATCATCCGCACAAAGCAAAATGTATATATAAATTTATTTTTTATTATAATCATTCAAATTTTTTTTTTTTGGGGGGGGGGGGGGGGGGGAAAAAATATAATTAAATAAGGGGAGGGGGCATTGAAAGTTTCACAGTTGCTGACAACGGTGGGGGAGGGGGGGGGCAAAAATTGCGTTAAAAAATTGTTGACGTAATTAATGGACGACCCCTATCTGTTTTTATTGTGTCACCTCTTTGAGCAGCTTCTCTCCGCCCGTCTATAGAATGTCACTCCAGCTGTGTATAGAAAGTAATGTACCAAACATTGTTTACACACTGCCAATCTCTTGGGCACAATCATGACCGAATTTCACGGCCGTCTGCGGTTGACCTCATCGACCCCACGAAAAGTCCCACTCTGTCTAAAACTAAAAATAAGGGTTATGAGGTCACGGTCATGATTGTACAGCGATTGCGCATGGCCAAGGTCACCGTCTCACATTTATGTCCGCGTGAGGTGGTTGTTTGCAGACGGCGTGAAACGTGCAGCTGGCAGCAGAGAAGAAACAGAGAGGCGATTTTTGTTGTGAACTCTTCTCACCGTGATCCCATGGTATGACTTGTGTCTATTTATCATTATGATGGCGATGTATGCATTAGGCATAGGGCAATGAAGACGTGCGGTAGTAACGGCGACTGTTGAACCTTCAAGACTTTAAATATCAGCGTGTGCCCCCCCTGGTACAGGGCAGTCACGTGTCGCAAGGTGTGTAAACTCGTGTGATTGTTTTCGTTTGGTGGGTAGATCATGATTACAGTTTCACGGCGAAGGCGGCGGCCGTGTGTGTGTGTTTTGGTGCTTCGTTGAATCGAGGGAGAGGATACGCGATTCTGGTAACCAATCAGAGTATTGAATGTTCAACGAATGATGGAAACGCCGAGTTATTCCCCCCACTAACACCACCAACAGTAACAGTTCAGTCGCTGCTAGTTCTTAGGTACTGTTGCATTCTACATCGTTGCTGAGACTTGGACTTGTTCCTTGTAATTTAATAGAACTGGATAAATCGGTTATAAAAAAGCCCATCTCTTTATATTATTTTCTTAAAGTAAAAACAAAATATATCTAAGTTCCTGGAATATAAACCTTGGCTTTAACCGTGAGTGACTCTTGATTGATTTTGAAGATCACTTCGGAGTACGTTCACAATACGCTCTTCTAATCACCATTTTGTGACAATATGATGCACACCTTCGTTCGCGAATGACAACGATGGAAATATAGATACAGAAAAAGCCACAAGAAAGGATACCTTACAAACTAAAAAGTTAATACTTGTTTGGTTGTTGTTGGAGATTTCAGGCAAAGTAAACAAACTCACAAAGGCAGGTCGGATTTTATTATCTCCCTTATATGATATGTCGTCTGCCTGAACAAACACTTTTTAAAACAAAGTGACTTTCTCTTCCGTCCGAGTTCAAGTACATGTACCGGGTATTCCAAGTGTACTATTAACAATCTGCCATGGGTATCCATAACACCAGTCATTACACCAGTAAGTTGTAATCGTATCTATTATCATCTTTGACAAATCAGTTACTTGGTCCAATGTGTGTGGCAGTGGTTTCCAAACAGTTCCTTCATTGTGAATGACTGGTTTCCAAACGGCTCCTTCGTTGTGAATGACCGTGGTTTCCAAACAGTTCCTTCATTCTGAATGACCGTGGTTTCCAAACAGTTCCTTCATCCTGAATGACAGTGATTTCCAAACAGTTCCTTCATTGTGAATGACTGTGATTTCCAAACAATGTTTTGGCGCCACTATAAATCACGAATGAATAATTTTGGTTTTAAAAATCGTGATGACATTCTACTTCATAAAATGATGTAGGCGAATATGTAACCAATATTCACCCTATAAATGTATTATTTTTAATTTGTAATCATTGAAATTATACTCTTCATTTCCCAACACTTTTTTAATTCACATTTTAAGATAATTATAAGTGTAAGGCTCAAATGGAGCAGCTGCCTTTGAATGGACATGAATGAGTTATTAACAATATGGGATTAAATTATACTCTTCATTTCCCAACCCACCCTTGTAAGTGACACCCCCCCCCCCCAAACAAACCCTTGCCCCAGTTTGGAACATACCTAACACATCTTTAGAGCTTATACTTTGCGATAATAGTTTTGAATCAAACATTTACTTTTTGTTAAATTATAAAAACAATCCTGTTAGGGTTATACTGATACTTGACCTTCCACTTGGTGTGCTGCATATTGTAATGAAAGATGCTAAACTGATTAGGGTCAATTATTGTTAGGCCATTAAAAACATGTAAGAACCACTTTAGTGTTCAATAAATGAAATAAACTGAATTGCTTATATGTCATTATGTGTATAAAAGTTCAATAATTTTATGAATGTGACATTTTTTGGTGTCCATTGATAAGGCTTATTACAGACTTCTTGGTGTCCATTGGTATAGCTAGGCAGACTTTTTGGTGACCGTTGGAATAGCTAGACGGACTGTTTGGTGTCCATTGGAATAGCTAGACAGACTGTTTGGTGTCCATTGGAATAGCAAGACAGACTTCTTTATGTAAATTGGTACAGTTAGATAGACTTCTTATTGTCCACAGATATAGCTAGACAGACTTCATAGTGTCCACGGATATAGCTAGACAGACTTCTTAGTGTCCATTGGCATAGTTAGACATATTTCTTAGTGTCCAAAGATATAATTAGACAGACTCTTAGTGTCCAAAGATATAATTAGACAGACTCTTAGTGTCCACTGGCATAGGTAGACACATTTCTTAGTGTCCAAAGATATAATTAGACAGACTCTTAGTGTCCATTGGCATAGGTAGACATATTTCTTAGTGTCCAAAGATGTAATTAGACAGACTCTTAGTGTCCACTGGCATAGGTAGACATATTTCTTAGTGTCCAAAGATGTAATTAGACAGACTCTTATTGTCCACTGGCATAGGTAGACATATTTCTTAGTGTCCAAAGATGTAATTAGACAGACTCTTAGTGTCCATTGGCATAGGTAGACATATTTCTTAGTGTCCAAAGATATAATTAGACAGACTTTTAGTGTCCACTGGCATAGGTAGACATATTTCTTAGTGTCCACTTATATAGCTGAATACTGTTGTTTTCTGGCCAGGGGTATTTTAGACGTCATTTCCTACAAATCAACATAATTTTAAACGGGGTTATTTTTCTGTGTGCTCATAGTTGTCTGACTGACCCTTAAGTCCCCCTTCACTCAGATGGAAGATAAGGGGATTGCCTCCCTTCTGAGGGGAGGGGGACTTAAGGGTCAGTTAGTAAGTTTTAATATGTCGGGGGGGGGGGGGGTTTTTAACCCGGAAGAATTTTAGTGGTTCCACTGTGTATTAAAAATATGTGCTGCATAACTTTTCCTCACTCCAAAAAAAAAAAAAAAAACGGAGACATTTTACTACTTGAAGCCATGTAAAATTCTTTCAGTTCTTAAGTCATGTGATCTAAGGCTTGGTGATAGATGATGAAGTACAGTTTGTCAGTTTGTACATGATAATATGAAGTAAGAACATATTGAAACTCCTTTATCAAGGTTGGCTATATTGTTTGGCTTTGATCATAAGAAATGTTTTCCTTGTCATGATCAGTGTCTTTAAACTAAAACAAAAGTTACAAAATCTTCAAAAACGTTGACTAATTCCATCACATCAACAAAATAAAACATTTGAAGAAATTTGGTAGATTATTTTTTTATATCGGCACTTGAGACACAATGATTTGTCAGGGAAAGGTTTCAGATATTCCTTTGGAGGAAGTTTGCTGTTATTTCATGACCTTACTCTCAAGGCCAAACACAGACAAGGTCTCCCCCCCTCCCCCCCACTCCCCCCCCACTCCCCTCAAACTATTTGTTTCAGCTAAACAAGAAAAAAGCAGACCAGGTTCTGTGGCGCATTTCCCCTACAATTGATTTTCTGATCAATATTCCAGTGAGATTTTAATGAGGTCTAAGCTGTAAACCTATATTGTATTTTTTAATTGGAATGGTTCATGTTTTGTCAAAAGTTGAAAATTACATCCATGAATGTTTCAAAATATGTAGATATTGACTTGGATATTTTCTTCATCTGGCTAGCCTTAAAAATTATTATTTTGCAATAAGGGTAAATTAAAATTAAAATGTATCACCTTTTTTATTATTAATTTCTGTTCTAATAATATCCACATATGACTAATTTATTTTTTAGTAATATTAATATGCACCAAAATTATTTGTTTTGACAAAGTATTTATTATAAAATGTAGATCAGAGATTAAAGGCATAATTTATATGAGCAAATTTTAGGCAGTCTCAGAAATAAACTCAAAATTTATAATAATGGATAAATATTTCAGCCCATTAGGATTATCAACAGCCTCACCTCCAGCTTGTTATCTGAAGGAAACCTTGAAACATGCCCCCCCCCCCCTTTTAGTTAAGAGACATTTTGATTCACATTTTTTCATTCCCTCTTTTTGGAGTTGTTGTAAGACTTCAGTTGAAATGCGCCATAAAAGCCTTTAAACTTTGGGTTGTCAGACGGGCAGTTGCAAGAGGCACTCACACATATTTCAAAGTAAAAAAATAAACATAATGGAAAATTTTCTTAAATTTTTTTAAATGAATTTGGGGTGTTTGAGGGATTTAGTACTTTCATGGTGGAAGGTGCTCGCTGATTAGGGTGATCAGCACTGTAGCTGTCTGCGGTACGCCCATTTTCTGTGTTTCTGTTGGTTCACCTCACGGTGTAACATTAGTTTATTAACCCTTCATCGCCCTCATTGGAAGCGTGTGTGTGTGACCCAGTTGTTTACATTTTATATGTATTGTAGCGCAAGCTTCTACCTTTTTTTAAATAAACAAAACATGTAAACATGTATAAACTGTCCATGTAATTATAACCCATGAGTATTTTCAACTATGCACACAAGATAAATCTTGTGGTTAACACACTTGATATAGACTCTGGTGGTTAACACACTTGATATAGACTCTGGTGGTTAACACACTTGATATAGACTCTGGTGGTTAACACACTTGATATAGACTCTGGTGGTTAACACACTTGATATAGACTCTGGTGGTTAAAACACTTGATATAGACGTCTATAGTATGCACTTAGTGGAATATTGTGGTGATGGGGAGAAAGATGAAAGCTGTTTTACTGACTGGATTCATTCAATTCTAAATGATAATTTTTAAAATGTGAATTTTACAAAAATGGTGTTACGGTCTGATGTTTGGGCAGTTGGGGCCTCCTTGTTTGTTCTCAGCACACTCCTGCAACCTTGGATGTTGGTTAAGGGCAGGCTTATTTCACTGTTGTGTTGGTGCTGGTTGTGTGGACATGAGGATGACCTTCAAATATCTTCTTTCCTCCCAGCCATTTGTTTGTTTACTAGGCTGGACCAGGAGATCGCCACCACCAAAAAAATCAGCTGGCCTTCAGGAGCGATGTTAACATTTGGACGTTGTATATTTAGAAAGTTGACAGATCTGTGTCCTCTCAGGGGCTTGGCGGGCATAAAGCCTCTGTGCCATTAACAGTTTTAACTTTGCTAATGAAATCCTTGGTCAACATTTTGCTTGCCTTAAAGTGAAAAAAACCCAAAATGAAGCATGGTGTGACGCAGGGGGGCAATAGAAAACTGAAGTTTCCAATCCAGTCTACTTCATTGTTCAGTTGTGCTTTGGAGTAGCAAGTCTTGTAGTTTGTGCTGTGATTAAGTTTTATATTTGGAAGGAAGGGACTTGTTCGAAAATGTTTCCAGATTATAATTATGAGGTTTGTGTCAAATCTGAGTTGTAAATTAAGTGACGAGGGAGCCTTTTAAGCCTATTTAATTCACCTTGTTAAAATTATTTGTATTTTGTATGTAAAAAAAGTTGTTATGCTATTTACTATGATTTCTATTCAACTCAATTTTGAGTTGTGTATGATTACCATAAATGAAATCAGTTAGCATGAGGTTTGAATTGAGCAATTGTTTCTCGTCTTGATTACAAGAATTTTTTTGGTGCATTCAGTTTTGATAGGTTTTAGTTTTAAATATTCAAAAAAAGTATTCATATTATAGGATCTAGTTGTAAATATTCAACAAAGTAGTCATCAGAATCATGAGAAGAGAAATTTTTTGAAATAAATCTGCTGTTCTTGTTATTCTGAAAAGGAACTAAACCTCAGTGCTCCCATATTTAATTAAAACCAAGGATAATCAGCAAATTAAAACCGTAGCTAAGAATCAATTTTAATTATTTTTTTGTTAATACGTTGACAACACTTATGGTAATATGATTTTAAAAATAGTGCAGCTAGTGACTACTTTTTATGAGTTCATAAACCCCAACCAGTCCTTTGACCACATAGTTTTTAGCCCATTGCATAGAAGATAAAAATTTAAAAAAATGATTCTTAAAAAATTTGGCCCTAAATTATCAAATGCTCACTACCATTTAAAGAATCTAAGATTAATTGGTCCTTCTTTCTATTGTCCATCAGTCTAATGATGCATCTTTCTATAATTAATTTGATTTTATCCTTTATTTGAACTTCCCAAATAATTTTTTTTTAAAAATTACTCTGTGTCTAAAAATATATAATGCAGACCTAATAGTAATAAGTGTAACTACAATTGTTAAGTTTTGTTATTGTTGTTCACAGATGACAGCTGCTGTTTCCCCATACACACCTGGACAGAGGTATAACTTGAGCATGGACGTTGGGCCGGAGGAGGCCTCACATCCGTCCACGGCAGGACTATTCCAAGATTTAAAGCTGAAGAGGAAAAGAGTGAGAGACATTTTAAATGAATCAGATGCCATCTTACCTGGTCAGCTGGTGTTCACAAAACTACCAGAGTGTGACCAGCAGAGTAATCTAAGTCCAGGAAGTGCTGACAGCGCATATGTATCAGACAGGACTTCTGACTTGGATTCAGGTCCACCCATGAAGAAATCACGCCAAGCTGTTAATGAAGAGGAAGAGGAAACCAGGGAAAAGTACATTAAGGCAGATGTCCATAGTGCCATAGGGTCACCACAGCAACCTTCTCCTGCAGCTGTGGTATCTTTGTCCAAATGCTCATCATCGCTGTCAACATCTTTGACAATAACATCCTCACCGTCCTCTTCAATAACTTCAGTATCACAATCTAATAACCAGGACCTAAAATCTGTCACATCCGTCTCCACCCCACCTCACTCTTGTAAATCGGGGTCACCTACGTCCAACCCAATGATTCTCAGCTGCCCACAAGGCTACCTCATGCAGCTGGCCGGTGGATTCACTGCCCATCCCAACGGGGGCATGAAGCTGATTCCCATGATGGCTATTTCTACGGCAGGAGTCTTTCAATCCGTTTCCACACCTATGTTCATAACGACAACTGCCAATGGGTACTTTGTTTCAGGGACAAGCAATTCACCATTTACCTGCAGTCCTTCGTTGATAACCTACCCGACTCTTGATGGGCCCAAAACCGTCAATGCTGAAGATGTTCTTAAATTGGACAAGCCCCAGATAGCAATCCCCAACGGCTCTGGCTACACAACGTTAAACATGCCCAGCCCAAAGTTCAAGCACCCCAAAAAGGAGGAGAGCCGGTTAGAGAAAGACACCGAGTTTATTTCTCACTACACCAACGGAGCTTTTGTGTATCGTGGGCATTTAGCGGAGAATCCCCACAACTTGAAATCCCGTGACGGCACTTCGTTTGCAGAAAATGTCAAATGCGAAGATTCTGATGGTGAGGAACCGCTAGTTTGTGCAATTTGCAATGACAGGGCCACTGGTCTACACTATGGCATTATCACATGTGAAGGGTGAGCTTATTTCAGCTGTTTAAATTTAAATGGATTTTAAATGTTTATCCTATAACATGTCACTGCATTCATATAAAATGTCCTGGTTGAACATTTAAAAAGAAAAAAAGAATTATTATTTATCCATATCTTTGTGAGAATTTTTGCAGATGTGATAATGTTTTAGCTAAATATATATAATGCTTCTAATATAATGCATTAGTCCAAGTACTTGAGGATTCAATTTGTATCATGTAATTTTCACTCTGTGCAGAGGTATTTTAATTGTGTGCCCTGTTATATTTGGCTCTCCCCATTTATTTCAAGTAAATCAAGTTCCACATGGGAAGATAGAGATAATTTCTTTTTTGGAATAGGTAAAAATTGTAGGGAACATTCTATTGCTTTTTAAAAAAAAATCCTTTCATAAATTCCATATCCTCTCCTATCTGGCATTGAACTGTCACTTTACAAGGCTTTAAACGTCACAGCAGTGAACAATGCTTAACATCATGTAAAAAAAAAATGCAGACATTTCTCCTTGAAGTTTGTTATTGATCTTTTTAGCTGGGGTGGGGGGTGGACTAGATCACGCCAAGCTCAGAAAAAAGAATTTGAAAAGATAATATCATGAATTGTTTCACAAGGAATAAAAAAATTACCAAATGGGTTTGCAAATTATTGGTTAAAATAAAGAGTCATGTACTACTTCTCTTGTTTGGCCCTGGCATCAGTCATCAAACAACTGAATTGAGCGAGCCAGCCTTGCACAATTTGCTGCTTAGCCTCTTCAGCTACGATAAACTTATAAAAAAACAACTTCTTTTCTGCAGGTGTAAGGGATTTTTTAAGAGGACCGTCCAGAACAAGAGAGTCTACACCTGTGTTGCAGAGGGCAACTGTGAAATCAACAAGGCCCAGCGTAACCGGTGCCAATACTGCAGATTCAAAAAGTGCCTCAAAATGGGCATGGTGCTAGCTGGTGAGTTGAAGGATCATGAATTATGCATGGGAGCTTAGGTTGGCGGTAGAGGATGGCTATCATTAGTTTCTAGTTACAAGCAAATCAGTTCTCTTTAGTTCAGTAGTGCTTGAGAGCCTTATAGAAGCCACCCCTGACAGAAATTAGTTTAATTATTTTAGCTTTTAAGCCAATGAATTCCCAATCTCTGTTTTTCTCTATTCTGGGCTTTTTTTAAATCCCTGCTCATTTTACTAAATATTCAATATTTTTATTGTACTATTTATTTTCTTGCAGCTGTTCGTGAAGACAGAATGCCAGGGGGAAGAAACTCTGGAGCTGTTTATAATCTTTACAAAGTGAGATGCCCTAATATCTAACCCTGCATCCTTTAGATCTTAAATATTTCAAATTGTGTTTGTAAAAGGAATTATTTTTAACAATTATTTTTGGAATACATGAAAGAAATAACGTTGAAAAAAGAAATCCATTTATGGATTATAAATATAATAAGTGTCTTTATTTTAAGTATTTACTTAGAAAAGGCCAAAAAAGCTCTCATTCACCATTCTCATGCATAAAGTGCAGCACCACTACACACTCAAGGATAGTTCTCATTAGGCACTTGCATGGTTGTCATTAAAAAGAAGCTATATTGTCTCACAAGGAAAGAGTTACCTGGTATGCCAACTATATAATTAATTAAAGCATTTCTATATCCACCCAGGTGAAATACAAGAAGCACAAGCGTCGTGATACAACCGAGAAGGCACTGAAACTCCACAGGCTCAACTTCCCCACCTGTAAATTAGAAATGCCGGACGTCATCCCTGGCTACCCAGGTGAAAATTTGCCATCATCTGATTCAGCATATGAGTCGAGCACAGACTGTGGGACGGACACCACCAGCAACCGGTCAGAAAAGTCATCTTCCAGCTACAGTCAGTACCACCCCTGCTACCACCCTTATCACTACAAAAATGTTACAACTACAAGTGCGTCATCATACGCTGGGTCGGTGTCGGAACACAGCCTGGTTATTAAGAGTCACTCAGCATATCAGTCTCCGGTGGCATCTACCGTGACATCATCTGCGTCGTCGTCATTACACCTCACCACTGTCCACTCTGGTCACCCAAACAGCTTTGATCAGAGAATTTTCACTTACCAAGACGGACCATCTGGCTTAAAAATTCCCTCACCCCCTGGCCAGCGGCAAGGCCATGGAAACTCTACTATGTTGGAAAGCAAGGTTTCGCCACCCACTACCAGTGGATCCCAGAGTTCCCATTATCACAATAATATTTCCTTTGACGAGCCATCTCACCCTCAGACAACTATGTCATCATACAAGCCACCTGAAAAATATCCCATTGATGTAAGCCATTGCTCACCGGACAAACTTTATCCTCAGCATATTCATCAAGACAGAGAGACACGCCCACCACAGCTGCATGATTCTCAAAGGACTCACACACAGCACCAGCATTTTACCAGTATGAAAGCCGAGCAGGCCTGTGCCACACAACCCCATTACCAATCACAGAAGGGTTCAACCGCCAAAGGGGATAACCGTGAGAGATCTGACACATCTGGCCATCACCAGTTTTACACTGACAGCTCGCTGTATGTCAAGCAAGAAATAGACTCACATGAAGACTTCAAACAATCCCAGAGTTGCTCAAACTATGATGATGCTGATAACTACATAACTAAATATCATTCAACATCAACACTTGCAGCTACACCAAAAGCCCAGACTAATGGTCTCACTGAAGTTGCTCATGATCAAAACTGCAGCTCTTTGACTCGCAGACTTCAGGCCCAAACCAGCCATTTTTCTCCAAGTAGCTCTCACACTTTCAAACTTCCCCCCACACTGCAGCACAACAAGGGCAACAAGGGAAAGCCATCTGAAAGTTTTAAAAACATGGCTCATCCCGTTAGTACGTCTTCTATGCCTTACTATGCATCAACAACATCTCTCATCTCGGACTTGGCCAAGAATGACAGCTTGTTAACCATAGCTGAGGACTACCAGATTGACAAGTTTACAGGGTCAGAGGAAACTGTTGCCCAAGCCCTGTGCCAAGTTGGTGACAGTATTGTCATGAGATTTGTCCAGTGGATGAAACAGTTGCCCTTTTACAGGTGGGTGAACATTGTGCAAGTCTTAAAAGTTGGATGTACAGGGCTTTTATAATTTAAAAAAAAATTTTGTGTAACTATACAAGTCTATTTGACTAAGTACTGTATACCAAGGTTTAAATGTTAATTTTTTATTAATAACTTTAAATTTATATTAAATTTTAATTTATAATTATCAGGATAGAAAAACGCATGGTAAGAATTTTTAATAATTGAAGCTTGAATATCTATCCATTTATTATTACTGCATTATGCATCCTTTCAATACAAGGGTGGTGAGATTAACTATTAAAATTTTACATCATTGTAAATTTGCAACAATTTCAATGTGTTTTTAAGTTTTTATCTTTAAATTTCACCTAAATAGGGAGATTCCTAAAGAACTTCAGACCAAAATCCTTATGTCAAAGTGGCATGAGCTTCTTCTGTTGATCATGGTGGCCTATGGGCCTGTCACAAAACACCCAAAGAAGTCTGATAGAAAACCCACGTTTTCCGAGCTCTACGATGGAAACATCCAGCGGATGCAGGAGTACCTGGACAAAAGCTTTAACAAGTTTTTCACCTATGAACAGCTCCAAGGGGAGATTGGTGGACTCATGGACAAGGTCACTGCCATCATGGCCTACTTCTGGGACCTGGGAATAACCAGAAAAGAATTGCTTTGTCTTAAAGTCATCCTTCTTCTAAACCATGGTAAGTTTTTTTATAGTATTTGTCTGACATTGATTTTATTTTAAAAACAAAAACTTATATAGACCATCATGGTTGATGTTTGTTTCAACGTTTTCTAAGTCAATTTTAAATAACTCTAGTCTTGATGAGCTAAGCTTGATACAGGACTCAGTCTTGCCAGACAAATATATTCTGACAAAGTTAATGAAGCCTTGGATTATATTTCTATTTTAATAATGATTTCATTCTGAAAAGCTCCACAAAAAAAAAACCTAAAGGGAGGGAACTTCTGTGTTTAAGTTGTTGCCTATGATGAAGTTTAATTAATAGGTATGAACCAAGAAAACAGTTTTAAAAATATTTACCTGTTTTGATCTTTTAAACAAATTCTTAATTTGTCACTGTATTGATTCAGTATTTTGATTGCAAATTTACAAAGCAGTTTTTTGTCAAACTTGGGCTTTTCAATTCTTTGCAAATCAGCAGTTCATCTTTTTATGTAATGGAATTTTAAAAAAATTACTTGTGGCAAGTTAATTATTTTTACACAAATATGTATTGTTTTGCTATCGAAATAAATTTAGCATGAATTTAAATGAATTAAAACCTTTTTTTTTCCCCTCTATTTAATAATTTTTACTGAAAGATGATAAAACGTGAATTTCCTCTTAAACTTGATTAAATTTTGTCTCCTCCTCTAACAGAGAGTGTCAAAAAGGATCCTAAGCTAAATCACATTTCCAACTGTTACAAGCAGGCTTTGCAGCAATACATTTTGGAAAGGTTTCCGTCAGAGGCCAATCGACTTGGAGATTTACTTGGTCAGTTTCCTGACCTTCAGGCTGCATCTGCACAACTACTTAGCAGCAAGATGATTTATATTCCATTTTTGCTCAATGCATAGTCACTGAGTCTTAAGTATTATTTGACATCTTTTTCACATAATTTATCATAAACGATTTGACCTATTTGTTTTAAAATAAAACTTCTCAAATTATAATACAATTTTATATTATTAAGTAAGTAGAACTACTGTGAATCGGGGTCCGTTAGAGAGCTCCATTTGAATACAAATATATTTTTGTTAAATTTCCTTAATTAAAGTGTAAAAATATAAAAAAAATATAGCCTGAAAACATATTAGAATTGAATGTAATTAAAATCTCATCACAAAATGTTCAAAGGCAAGAGTTAAAAAGTTAAAGAACAAACATTTGATAGGTCTAAAAAACCCATTATTTCAATTCAATACAATCAAAGTGGTAGAGGACAAACACATAAGGCAAGTTAATAATTATTAGTAATACAAAATGTTGGTATGTATAAGAATATAAATTCGCTACAAATAAAATTGTACTGGCTTAATATATATGTATACTTTTTTTTAACCATGACAACAATATGATTCGTTATAACTAACACAACTACACTAAAGATAATCTTGGATCTGTGCTATGAAATCATGTCTGAAGATAGTTGGTAGCTTTCTGATAAGTTGTCTGATTCTTAATAATCCCGACTTGCTGGGGGCTTTCTAATATCTTACGTCACGTTTGTAATTAATAATCATTGTTGTTTTCTTTTTTTTTTTTATACTGTCCGCTGGGTTGATAATTAAATCTAAACAGTTTACATCTCTAATCCAAGTTAATCCTTATTGTCTTTCAAATTGGAGCAAGTAACTTTTAAAAATATTTTTTAAAGAGTGTAAAGAATCAATGTTATTGTTCTGTGGAATACAATGAGCCATATTTCATTTTTAAGTGAACCACAAACCCATCATCTGTGATAACATTTTTTTTTGCATCTGTTGATGTAGTCATGGATGATAATCTGTTGTAATTACATTTTTTATAATTATCAACTATTATCTTGTGACCAAAGGGACTTAAAATGTACAGTTGAGTGGTTGGGCTGAAAATTTATTTTTAGCAAAATGTAATAATTTTAAAATATCGATTAGGCAAAAAGAGTGGATTATGATTTAAAAATTATTTTTTTTCAAATATTTATTACCTTATGGTTTTATTTGCACATTTTATAATCATCAAAACTTAAAAAATAGTCTTATAATTTTTTTGAAAGATGGCTCTTCATTTTGCCTAGGTAGCATTGGCAACAACCAAGGTATTATGTCTCCTTACAAGATTTTTTGTTTCTCAAACTCAAACTTTGTCATTGGTTTTGAAGTCTTATTCTTTAGTTTTTCCACAACAGGATTTACATATAAAGATTAATTTCAAATATACATTTTCATTTGTGTATGTGTATAATATGTATTATATTATTTTAAACTTGTGCCATAAATTAAGATAATTTTTAAATGTTAATATAATCTTGATATTGTTAACACATAATTTTGTGTGCATATCTATGTAATATATAATTGTTTTAATTTCTAAGTTATAATACTGAAAATCTCTTTTTTTTTTTTTTTTTTTAATTTAATTTGGGGTTCAATTAATTTTTTATTTATAATTTTGTGTGCATATCTATGTAATATATAATTGTTTTAATTTCTAAGTTATAATACTGAAAATCTTTTTTTTTTTTTTTTTTTTTAAGTTAACTTGGGGGTCAACTCAATTTTTAATTGTGCCTTGGTATAAAATATCATGTGAGCTGATATGTATAGCAAAGAACAACATAGTAAGACAGCTTGGTTTCAGATAAATCTCATGGACTAACTTGTGCCTTGTCATCACTAGTGGTCCTGGCTATTCGTGTGTACATTTGTGCCTTCATCTCAACTGTGTTCAGATGTTGGAGACACAAAATTCTCAATGGATGCCTTTGTTTGTAACAAACATATTACATGCCAGTATTACTTTGTTGGCATGTCTGTAAGAAAATCTATTGAAACACTAGCAATGAAATTGTTACAATCATCTTACAAAATTTTTCTTCAAAACTTATTTTTTTATTATTTTTTAGGTCAGCTATTTCATAATTTGAATTTTTTTTAAAAATTGACTTAAATTGTGTTAAACTAATATTGTTACTTTACATGACAGCCCTAAAAAAAGTTCATGGGTGAGGTTGGGAGGATCTGTTTGGGAGAAATTCCTGAAACTGATCCTCCTTTGATACTAACCGATAATGACAAGTCAAGGTTAGAGCAGATTAGCAGTTCAGTGGACTTAGTAGAAGCGATATAGTTGCAAGTGCCCCAGCCTTCCATTTCATGTATTCAAGGTTCGGATGGCTTCATTGAACAGTTGTTCTTCCCCAAGCTCTCATGCCATCTGTTAAATTGAACTGGCGGATTGGAACAAGGGATATTTAATTTAACCAGTTAATAAATTCTTGATTCTATTTGATAATATTTTGACATGAGATTTGCTGCAACATCAAAATGCTTAAAGAAACCAAAATCCTGTTCGTTGTGCCCTAGAGAATATTGATCATGTCTCAAGATCTCATGTGATATCTGCTTTGCATGGATAAAGAAAATCCTCTGGCTCAAACAACTGTCACCTTTCTTTATATTACAAGTTAATTTTTGTTTCTCATCATGTAGAATTCTATTTTAATTTTTACTTAGAGTAAACTTAGAGGGTTTAGAATTGTTAAGAAGATGGAAAAGCTCGAACTCTGCAAAAAATCTCAGTCGCCACATGTAACATTCACTTAGTTTATACCCACCCATTTTACTTGTACAAAATGTTATATTTCATGTTTCAAACTATATATATATATATATATATATATATCAGTCATAGTTCAGTATCAGTTGTGCTGATCTCTAGACAGAGCATGGATGTCTCTATTATCAGGTTGAAACAATGAATGCAACAAAGATAACCTCTTCTGAATACTCTGCAGATGTTAACAATGCAACCTAATTATAGGGTACTCATCTTAGATTCCTTTAAATAAAATATATGTTGTTCCTATTTTGAGATGCTTAACTAATTTTGTTTTGATTTGCTGTTAAAATGTATAGGAAAATTTGCTGTTGGTGTATTATTGGTTCATTGTAATACAGCCCAGTTGGCTCTTTAATATTTGTGCATTGTGATATCAGCTGACCATTGACCTAATTTTTAACCAGCTGTACAAACTTTATGTTGATGCTGTTATTTCAAGTTGTGATTGCATTCTGTGAATTTGTAAGTAATCAAATTTTAATGGTGGTCATTCTTTTTTTTTTTGTTGGCCATTGAAAGATAAGAACTTTGGTTGCTTCTCTTCTTCTTCTTCTATTTATTAAGGGCCCAAGATCAATCTATTGATCATTCTGGCTTCTATGTATATAGAGGGACTTGAATTCTGGCTTCTCTTCATTTTTGATATCATATATTGACTATCGCCTGATAGTGGTGAGTGATTTAAATTGGAAGACTTATATTACTGGACCATGTTGTACTTATATTTGGATTAAAATCAAGATCAAAAGTAATCAGTGTTTTTTTTTTGTACTTTGATTTGTCTGTGTTATATTTTAGGTCCAACAATCAATTTTATTATCCTTTATTAACTAAATGTCTTCACAATTTGAATATTAAAGTGACAAAATCAGTCTAATTTTAAAAAAAAGGACTGCTTTTATATTTGAAACTGTCGACTACATAAAAAAAAAAAAATTATTTGACAATCAAATATAATTAATTTTATTTTTACCCCTCCCCCCCCTCCATTTGCATTATCAAAATAACAATAATATTATTTTAAAAGATAAATATTAAAAGCAATTATTTTAAAATAGTCAACTATTAACAATAAAACAATAACAAGTAATGGAATATACAATAAAACTTAAAAAATGAATCTACAAAGAAATATAAAAATGATGAAAAATATATTTTAAAAAAACGAAAGACAACTTTAGCCAGCTTCAAGTTCAAGTCTTTGTTGGACCAGATCAACAACCTCCACAATGACTTCAGGCTTCAATAAATCTTTGACCTGAAACATGTTAACAATAGATTAATTAAATGGTTCTTATGGATGTTAAACAATGCACAAAATGGTTCTTGTGTCAACAACACAAGTCATGTGGTCTGGTAATAAGGAGAGAGACTGCAATCAGGTTAGTAAAATGGGAAATGAGGAAATAAGTAAAACAAAGTAAGGTTAAACCTGAAAAAAGGGAACGCAATAAAACAACAATTTTTTTGCTGCCCTCTCGAACACTACTTCTCAGCTAAGTGCTATATTTTTTTTATACATTTTATTCTGTTTTTCTATTGTTTGTTCGCTGTCAAAGGCTTCCTGCAGTCACGTTCGTTGTTTAGTTGAGTTCCCTTTATTTCAGGTTTACCCTTACTTCGTTTTACTCATTTCAATGTGGTATGGTAGCTGGCTCATTATAAACACATTTACTTGCTCACAATCAGATACAATTGAAAATAAAAGGTAAATACTAAAAACTGCCTTTGGTGCATCCAATTAGAAAGAATTTGCCCTTTTGATTTAACTCTACAACATTCCTGACAGAATTTACTTCTAAAAATCTCTGTTCAACCATGACATCTTAAAAAACATATCTGTGAGAATGTTAAGAAATGTTTGAGACATCAACAACTGTAAGAACATTCACTTCAGCTACATATGTGCACAAGAACTTCAACACAAAAAAATGTATTATTAACCACTGTAACCTACTGCAAATTTATGTGATGCTTCGTAAGTGTAGAGAATACTAGTGTCGAAGAGGAGCACTCTCTGATCAGCCAGGGCCAGGACACAGTTCCTTAGTCTTGCTATTACTTCTCTGTCAGCCTTGGAAACTGGCTGAAATCAGTTTTCAAATATTTGTCAAATATCCTAGGATCAATATCTCAGCAGGGGGGGGGGGTTCCAAACTGGAACATTTGTGTTAATAATATATAATAATTTAAATTTAATCTATTAAATGAATTTTTTAAAAGTTAAAGTTATATTAAGTGTAATGACTGATCTGAATTTAAACATTTGGATATTTTCATGAAATCTTCAATATCCCATTCTAAATTATTTTAAATACTCCTTACAGATTCTAAACCAGTCAGTGTAATCTTTAAGCTTGCTGATAAATTCTCAACTGCCTAGTTAACTATGCTAAAGGTTCAATATTTGAAGCTTAGAAATGAAAGAAGGTTAAAACCATTTAATTTTCTACAGAAATAAAATGTGAAATTCTCATGGGCAGTAGACTTTGGCCATCTTGTGCACCGCAGTTTAGCAGACCTGGACTAGACTAATACATCACATTCCTGCTGCATGTTGTGGTAGGTTTGTTTATGAAAGCACTATTTGGCATGTTGGAAATGGTGGGGGGTTAAATGGCTAAGTATTAATTGCCAAAAAACAGTTTGCAGTGAAGATTTCCCACCTGTAAGTTAGTCTCATAGCCGCCAGTCTCCCCAGCTTCAATGTGTTCAGTAGGAGCAATCCAGATGTAGCCGTTGTTGCCCAGAATGATGGATGCACCGACTGGCAAGTTGTGAAAGTGTGTCTTACGCCGCAGGATGAGTGACGGAGACACCTTGACCAATGTACCCTGGCCCAGCTGGGATTAAAATCAATTTAAATAGAACAATATTTCAACAAAAGAAAATTCCTTCTTCAAGTTTAATTATATGCAATGCCTTGTGGCATATTTGGCTTCACTAATTTTTATTCAAATTTTGCAATCTTTTAACTTTTTTTATTAGTGGATTTTAAAATATAAATTTATTACAACTGTCATATTTTCATTTTATTTCATCTAAATCTTGCATCCTGCTGGTTTTGTTTACCTTGCCATACTTGAGACTGCGAGTGTGGAGGGAAAGACAACCATCTGACATGACATTTTGAACTTCGGCCTGAAAAATTGTAAGGCACTTAAATGAATAGCTGGAGTTGGCCGAAACGACATGTGAAAATATTTTGACTGAATTTAAACTTTAAAAATATTCTTCAAAACTAGGTCTAACAATAACAAAACTATTTTAAATAATTAATTTACATACGTACATCATATGTTCCATTAGAATTATCAATCTATTATATTCTTGAAATCCCCCCCCCCCGGGAAAATGTAGTAATCAACATATAAATTAATACTTTACACTAATGAGGTCTCCTTCTTTCAAGTAATGCCTCATCATTTTCTCATCTTCCTCTGACCGACGTCTCTGATTAAAAGAGAAAAAAAATCAGAAGTTAAAACCCAGGATACTTGGCGTTTAGATAAGCATACCAGATTTTCTGGATGCCAAGTATGGACACAAAGGCTCACAGCAACCAGAACCATACCGACGGGGTTGTTGTGCTCGAATTTTTGGACACACACCACCCTCTCAGCAGAAACTCGTAAGTTTAATAGGCTTTTAGTCCCCATCCCATAAAAACACAAAAGAAATCAAATAATTTAATAGATAATTGTGACTTCGCAGGAATAAAATAAAATGTGTCATGGGTTTTTACTGCTGACAGTTAGGAAAGCTCAAAGGTCCCCATAATATGCGTCACTCTGGATACCATGTTGCTCTTGAGCAGAGCCATGAGAATGGGGCAAAGAGGGCAGTCACAGCGGGCGCCAAAATCTTCTTTAGATAGAATCTTAATAGAGAATTTAAATTTCAAATCCCATATACATCAGAAAGACGAGGGGGGCCAAAAATTGTCATTTTTACTGATCCGCCCCGAGGGCACTTTTTCTATATGTTAAGTGGCACTATTTTCTGGCTTCACCCCAGGTGCAGCATTTCTTCAGCAGCGAACAAAAAACAGTAAAAACAGAATAAAATAAAAATAGCATTTAACTGAAAAGTAGTAGGGGGGGGGGGGGGGAAAAAGAATGGTGAAGACCTTAATTAGGCATAAGCGCAGAGAATCGAAACATTATAGAAACCACTGAACTAGCACATTGAAGATAAAGTGGATGAAATATTACTGTAATACTGCTACTACTGAGTACTATTGAAGCGATATCTAGCTAGTTCATTTGTGAAAAGAAATGGCAACATTATGACGATAAATCCTACACAACATTGCGTGATATTTTTACAGAATTAGATATATAAATATGCTATTTTTGGACTTTCAGATGGACCTGAAACTAATCACTGCGCTGGCCTTTGTGGAGAAATAAGATAAGACAAATGGAAATAAGAAAAGATAGTCATCGCCGCCAAAAGTACGGACAAGCCAGACGATGAGAGGAAAGTACTGACAAATATGGATGAAAAAATTAGTATGGACAAGGGGGTCGAAAATACAAACCGTCCGTACTAAATACGGAAGTCTGGTAAGTCTAATTTAGAGCTTTGTGAAATCATGAATTTATCAGAACTAATAATAGAAACCAAAAGCTTACCAACTCCCCACCGGGTAAGTTGACTGAAGATAACATGAGAATGGAATCCATCCGAGAGTGTGTCTCCACACGCCATCTTTTCTGACCCAGCTCTATGACTCGACCGATAACAACATCTCCAATCTCTCCATTGTATCTGTGGACATTTGTAACAATGTTGGAAGTAACCTGCTGGAATGAAGTTGATGGTCCCACTTGAGTCTTCTTATCTGGATTTCACTAAAATGTGTGTTTAAGTAAGTTGCCTTATGATGACCACTTTTGTAGATTTTGTAATAATTAGACGATTTGGCATGACATTTCAGTCCTCATAACTATATTACATTAAAGTATTAAACTTTAAAGATATTCTTCAAAACTAGGCCTAACAATAACAAAACTATTTTAAATAATTAATTTACACATTGAAGCTAAAGTGCCATTTTATAAAAGTTAATTTGTAAAAATCAGAGTAATTGATCTGTAAAATATACAACTAAATGGACTTGTACTTTTTTTCTCTTTAGATCTGTTACCTGTGGATGGATTATTTTCAAATAGCAAATAGGCACAGGACCTGCATAATTGGCAAAAATTATAATAATTTTATGGCTAAAATATCCCTTACCTTGTTTTAAGTGGTTGCACAGACACTAGCTTATTAACTCTTTCCACTATTCCAGCTACAGATGCATGAAGGCATTCTTCTTCCATGTAAGTGCCATGACCCCTGATGAAAATAAACAATAAACTTTAATAGATAATAAACAAAGGACTGTTCAGTTGTGTGAAAGAAATAGTGGAGTGTGTGGGGTGGTGTCACAAATTTTTGACAGTTACATACTAATTTACTATATTATTAATTATAATAATTATAATAAATTATTATATAATATATATATTATATTTATGATATAATTTAAGTGTGAGTGTGTAATTAGTGCTATGAAATAAATTAAAATCCTGATGTTTGGACTTGGAAAACAAAAAAAGGAGGGGGTTGTGAAACTTTTTGAACTTGTAGAGTGTAGAGCTATATACTTCAAAATCTCATTACTGTAGCCTAAGTATGTTAAACCTAATTGTTATGCCTTAGTTTAATAGGGCTAAATAAAAAACCATTATCGAGCCCCATTATCATTGAATATCATTCATTATGATTGTGACTTATTATTATAATTATTCAGAATTATGACTATAAATTATCGATAAAGGGTCGCATCTCTTTTTTTATAATAATTTATATATCCGCTCCTAGTTAATTGGTCAAAATATAATCAAACTAACCTCATAAAGCCAGTATCAGCTGTTATTATATCCCCAGGGGTTACAATATTCCCTGGGTCATCTCCGTGGTATAAATCTGGTCCAGATGGACGGGAACTTGCAAGTCTTATATCTATTGACATGTTTATGTAGCTCTTAAAGTGAAAGTAGCATGGGCTAGCCGGCTGGTTAACGTGTTTGTTTTCAAAATGTTCTTTCGATTAGTGCCAGTTAAGCACGCACATGACTGAAGATTAGAACATGAAAGAATTATACAATATCTCTGGTAATAATGAAAAGTATCAAATTTTATTACATAATTCATCTTAATTTCAATAACAAAAAAAAATCATTTTGAAATAAGCCATCCCCTTTATTTTGACATAATATATAACTATAAATTATTGTACTTTATCAAACTTATTTCTTCTATATATTACGGGCCCATGATCAATGTATTGATTATTGATCATTCTGGCTCCTATCTATGTAGTGGGGATTCGCATTTCCGTGTCTGGTATTGAAGAAGATATTTCACTGGTTGCAAGGGCTACTCAGCGAGGGTATCAGGAACTGGGGGTTAGAAGGCCTAAAGCAATAGACCCAAATGTGTCAAATGTTGTCGCCTCAACGGTATTTCACGGTCATCAAATCTGTATTCCCACAACACCCTTAATTTACGATGCCTTCTAAATCGTATACTATCATGTTATTAAAGTATAATTTATTCCTAACAAAATACAAAATAATGAATTGATCGTTTTACATGTTTCTACTTTAAAAAAAATAAAAATATTGTGAACTATATTGACTATCAGTTGTATATTACTATATTATATGAACTTTTTTATAATTTATGGTTGAAAAATTGCCATAGATAATTGTATTTAATGTAATTTAACGCAAAGAATTGCAAATGTACTACGCTTTATTTAAAAAAATTAAACAAGCAGATTCATCTCGGTTTAGTTTTAGATCTCGGTAAAAAGGTACGAGATTTATCTGTAGTGTACTGTCACATTCATATCACTCTTAAAGAGAATAAATATGCTTCGCAGATGCTGATGGTGTAAAGAAATTTGCACAATTTATTGTCTTTATAGAGACAAATTGGGTGTAGTGAGTTAAGTAAGTGCAAGTGAGTCAAAAATAAAAGTAGGCTAAATGGTTTTTAGTTCTTGAAATTGCTGGTAAACGTTGCTTTCAATACTTTCAAACATACTTTTACTAAAACTACATTCATTTCAATATTTCATACAACATAATGTTGGCTATTTGCTTTAAATAATGCATACTACTGTAAGACCTGTGAAGAGAGCATGACTGACTGACTGATGAGGCATGGGCATTACTGTAATTTAGTGTAATCAAAGCCAAAAGTAAGCAATGTAGTATGTAGGCCTGCGGTTCTCAACCTGTGGGCATGTGGGTCATGACCCCATGGGGTTCTAACGACACTTACTCAGGGGTCGCCTAAGACCCTAGGAAAATACATATTTATAAAGTATTAACGAAAATAATTTGATGGTTGGGGGTCACAACAACATGAGGAACTGTATTAAAGGGTCGCTGCATTAGAATGGATTGAGAACCACTGATGTAGGCCCTAGCTTTCACTTTTAGTATTAATTACTATTAGGAGATTTGTTATTTTGTGCTATTCTCTGGATTATCTAGAATGTGACAATCGTGCACAGTTATTAGAAATGGAAAGAAAAAGAAATGCACTTTGAAAATAAGGGGAAAATAAAACAACGAACAGAAAGTTTATGGCATATTAAATTTGTAATAAGCACAGATTCACAGAACAATTATTAATTATGAAACTAATCTAGATTTTATTGTTTTTAAACATTCTGCATGCAGTTCATTTTCATTTACACCCATATTTACAGTATTTTACAAGTCCGTTAAGAATATTTAATTTTTAAACATAAAAAAAAAGATATTTACAGAGGATAGATGCATTGTTGCTTTGATCATCTTGCTTTTGTGTCATTGTTCCTGGGAAAATATTTACACTACTCCCAAAGTTGATTCGCGGTCTCATAGCAAATGAAATGTTCTGACAACAGGCTGTTTCATCCTGATTTTAGAACCACAATGCATGGTAGCAAGACTGATTAGCCAAACAAGATCTACATCATCATACACTGAGTGTCAACTCCTAAGTCTACTTGGATTGATTAATTCTCACACGTTGAATATGTCGTACTATTCTTACTATTACTGAATAAACTCAAGTCCTTTTCATAATAAATATAACTTAAATATCTAAATATATACTATAGCCTACACATAAACACATGAATGTAGCGCAGCTCGCTATCAGACATAAATAATACACATCCTACTTCTACAAAGTTCCACTCAAGACTGCTGCACCACTAAGTCACAGTACTGTCTAGATAATACATCAGGAATCAGCATAAAAAACATCATGGGAAGAGCATTCACTAACTAATTAAAACTCTCAAACACATGTTGCGCGTAATGAACATAATATTCAGTCGCAACAATTATCAATGAACTACCATACTTGACACTGAGCATGATATTATTTGGTAGCTGCACTTCATGGCATGTGCTATTATAGGGAAACACTATTTTGTTCCTCATATACCCTTGGCTTGTGCATTTTGCATTTGGCAGAATTTGTTAGAAGAAAAAAAAAAACCTTCGGAAAAAAAAAAGTGTACTTTCCAACAAATACAACATGAAAATGATTGAAATGTATAAATGTATTATTATCAAGGTGGGGAGGGTGGGGTGGAATTATCTCCCCCCCCCCCCTTGTTTGTTTGTTTGTTTTTGTAGGCAGTCCTAAGGCTAGGTTTCAGTGTGCCTCTTTTTTTTAAAATGTAAAAAAAAAAAAAAACCTTGAAAAAAAAAAAAGTGTATTTTCAAAAAAAAAAAACATGAAAATGATTGAAATGTATAAATGTTTTATTTTCAAGGGGGGGGGGGGGGGGTGGAATTTTCTCCCCCCCCCCCCCCTTGTTTGTTTGTTTGTTTTTGTAGGCAGTCCTAAGGCTAGGTTTCAGTGTGCCTCTTTTTTTTAAAATGTATATTATGAACCTTATAATTACACAAGGGTAGGCTATAGTTTAGTGTACTTAAGTGTCTTATTCAGCATTATTGTTCCGCTTCTGCATAATCGAGCCCAGACCTAGGCAAGAAAGATAACTATAATGGGTCACTTTTTAAAAATAAATCATTAATCTTGTGCCTGCCATTTATGATCATTAAGGGAAGAGCATTATGTCTATAATAGTATAGGATGTATATTGGGGTAGATATTAATCATTATTAAACCATATTTCTGACATATCAAGCCATAGACTATTAGAAAGTCTAAATGCAATTTTAAAAATATCTACAAATCAAATTTGCACCATCAGAACATTTCATATTTGATTTAAAACCGCTAAGTGGTTAAGTCACTGAGCTTGTACCACTCAATGCCAAGTATATTAATGCTCTGAGCAATTTCTTTCCTTTCACATAACTTTTTAAATATTTTTTTAAACACTGAAGGTTTTTACAAAATTCCTTTTAAAAGATAATATTTAAAATTCAGGTGTTTAACTTTATTGTACCGGCATATGGTTTTCAATTACCAATAGATAGCTGCTAATATGTTTTGCTGTATTTGCTAGGGCTTAGTTCTTTGACCTATCAAACAAGTGGTCCGTCAAATTGTGTAATTTTAAAGTCACATGATTTTATCTGACCTTTTTATTTACTTCAGAGGCCATGAAAATGCACAAGCTGCTGTTGAAATTAAGATCCCTCCCACAAAGCAGATTTCACCAAAGAACAGCGCTTCATGTCAGTGCCAATAGATGTCTAAGTACAGACACAACCGATGGCCCAGTGGAAGACAAAAATGAGGTTAACAGTGAGAAAAGAATTCCAAGGGCTGGTATGCATTATTAAATAAATGTAGTCTATTCTTGAATGAACTTCTGGATACGTTCTATGTTAAGTTTGTAATATTTTGATATGGACAAATTTAATCAGACCGACTGTTTCAAAGGTTAACAGGTAGCAAAAACATTATTTGAACTATTGACCAAACTTGAGTTTTTCATGTTCATTTTTTAATTTGGATTCATATGCTTGAAAAATATTTAAAAATAATTTGTTTCTGTGCCTGCAATTCTCAATAGGTATTAAGTAATCAGTTTATGTAACTCATTACCATAGGTAAATACAGGTCGCCATGGAAGATACTCAGAGAGGAGTTTGAGGGCATAGGAACGATGAAACCGCCTGGCCTAGAGGTTCCGAGAGAAACTGACATCCTGATTGTAGGAGGTGGGGTTGTGGGGTCTGCCGTAGCTTACTGGTTAAAACAGCGCAATCCTAAAGGGTCAAACATTCTGGTTGTAGAAAGAGATCCTGTGGTAAATTTGGTGTCCTTTAATACTTTTTTTAATATGTTTCATTTTAAAGACTTTAATTTTACCAAAGACTGAAATGTTACTAAGACTGAAATTTTACATACTATCTGTGAGCATAAAGACAAATTTATCATTTTATGGTTTCACTATCACAATAAAAGAAATATATGTATGTATATTTTTTTTCTTCACCATTTTTGCCACGATATTGTCACTTAAGTGTCAAAATAAAGATACTGTTTAGGATAAATTTAGTGTGCTACCTTTTTAGGAAATTTCTAGTCCTACTTACAGCCTATTACTTGAAATTAAGGTTTATGGATGTAGTTTAATTTCTCTTATCATCATATGTATGGGCACAGACACTGCTGAGAGGGAGCATTTTAATAGAGCTGTTTAGATCGTTTTTGTTTCAAATCTATTCAATAGCTACGTTGAAAGTATCTTCTGTATCAAAGTCAAATATAATGCTTTTTTTTTTTATTTTTTTAATGTTGAAATCTTTACTGTTCAACTAGAATTATTGTTTTATTTTATCAATTTATGTTCGCAATGTAAATTTTGTAAAAAATTTTTGTTTTCTTCAGTATACAAGAGCGTCTTCCATGCTGTCATGTGGTGGAATACGCCATCAGTTCTCAGTCCCTGAAAATGTCCAGCTTTCTATGTTTACATCTGAATTTTTACGTAACATCAAACAGCATCTCAGTGTCATTCGTATGTTTATTTTTTAATTATTTTTTAAATTTACCTTTGCCTACAGCCATTTGATTTATGCGTTTGTTTTCCTCCAACTTAAAAAAAGGGTTTCATGAATATAATAGCCACAGCTTTTAAATAAATATTATATTTATATTTATGCACACACTTTGTCAAATAATGATATCAATCCTTGCTATTAAATCTACTTGTATCTTAAAGAAATGCAGAGGTTCTTTTAAAATTAAAAATATTTAGAGACATATTTTTATTTAGCGATCAATATATCGTTTTAAAAATTACTTGATACTATGAATGCTTTTGTTTATCAAATTAAAATGTCTGCACTTTTTTTGTGAGTAGGCCTATTTCTTTAAGTTTTTAATGGTGTTTGGCTGGCATCTGTAGTTCAGGAACGTCTTTTAATTTCTAATGATTAAAGCTGCTGATGGAAATGATAAAAATTTCTTAATATTTATGTTCAAACGTGAGAAAAATACAGTTGTAGACATTTAAGATGGTTCTGTGAAATAATTGATTGAATGATGTTAATTAAACAAAAGCCCACAGAACACAATTTGAAGCCAAAATCAACCATTTTTATGTCTCTAAACTCAACCATTCTCTTTTTTCACCATTTTCGTCTTGAAAGATCCACACAAAAAATATTTAATACATTTTGTTTTTCCAAAATGTTTTCAGATGAAAGTCCACCAGATGTTCAGTTTAACCATCAAGGTTATCTTTTCCTTGCACCGCCTCGAGGAGCGGAACAGCTGATGGAAAATGTGCAGATGCAACAGTGAGGTGTTTTTTAATTTGAAATAAACTAGGTTACCTCTGCAGAGCATCCGTTTGTTTGCCTGAGTAAATTATAATTGAGCTGATTATAGTATTTTCAACAATAGCTAATAGATTATAAGAGCTATATTTGTCATGAAATTTATTATGTAAAATAATCACAAAGAAATTTCTGTTAGGTCAGTATGAAGCCTTAGGTCAGCAGTATCAGGCCTCAAATGTAGACATGTACATATTTTATATAAAATATATTTTTAAAATGCAAAACATGCATTTTATCTAAAAATGAAAATAGGAAAAAAAAAGAAGAGAAAAATTCCAGCCCACATTTTTAGCAAATAAATTAAGCAAGTAATTTCAGATGGAAAGAATGTTTGAATAGCTTCAGTCAGCTTGTAGTGTAGAAAAATGTATGAATAGCATCTGTGGGCATGTTGTGTAGAATAATGTATGAATAGGATCTCTTGGCATGTAGTGTAGAATAATGTATGAATAGCATCTCTTGGCTTTTATCGTAGAATAATATACGAATGGCATCTCTTGGCTTGTAGTGTAGAATAATGGTAGAGAAATTTACAGATACATTAGGAACATAATGAATCAGTTATTGACCCGGCATTGATCTGTCAATAGATGACATTAAAAAAAGATGAGCAGCAAATATATTCGTATTGTCAATCCATGCATTTTACCATTAATATTTTGCTCACAGAGAATTAGGTGCCAAGATTGATTTGTTGAGCAAACGTCAACTTGCTGAGAAGTTTCCTTGGCTAAATCTAGATGGGATTGAATGTGGCTCACTTGGTATGTTGTCCATTAGCTTTTTTTCCAATGGGTTGATTACCCATGGGAAGTAAATGAGAGGGGCTATAGGCTCACCCATCTCAATAATTTGCAATAAGTTAAGATGAGTGTTCAATTTTTTTATGTACTTGTACTTTAAAAAAACCCCCATAAATTATGAATTCAAATAAATGCTTCATCTCTATATTTAAATTAACAGTGTGCAATGCAACAGTAACCCATCCAAGTGTTCAGAGCACAATGTAACGGTAACCCATCCAAATGTTCAGTGCACAATGTAACAGTAATCCATCCAACTACTGTGTGCACAATTTAACATTTAAGCAGGATCTTAAGGCTTCTCTACTTTCTATGAAAAACTAAGATGACTCTTAGTCAAAACATTAAACAAAAAATCAGTTTTTATTGTTAAAAATGACAGTGCATAAATTTAATTTGGGATCATTGTTATATGGGCTACATTCAAATTGTTGTAAAACGGAGTAGTTTGCACATGTTTGCCGCCCATTTTTACCACTTAAGGTTGGTTCTAAAATCATGTTTTTTGTTTCTAAACTCGATTCCAGTATGTTAAGTAGGGTTGATTAAAAAAGACCCAATAATATAGTTTTTAAAATAAAATTTATACTTTTACTCTGAATAATTTCTTTCCTCTCAATTCACGGTGACGTCATCCGATCCATGTTTATTCACCCAAACCATGACAACAACAAATCATATGAAAGCGGAAATGATATTCACCAACCCAATATACTCTTTTTCTCCCCGAAAATAAAAAATGTTTTTGTTCGTGAATGTACCTAATATAGTAAGAATGAAGGAATTTTTTTTTTTTTTAAAGTTCCGGTTATCATTATCTCATCAAGGTGACTAAAATAGTACAAGCAAAGAAGAAAAAAAAACACACAAAAAAAACCTGTAATTTAATAAATAATGATTGACAACATCTACATTGTACAACGGTATTTGCTTCATTCCAGGCTTGGAAGGTGAAGGTTGGTTTGACCCTTGGTTGCTGGTCAGGGCGCTGAAGCAGAAAAACCTGAGCATGGGGACCAAGTATGTCCACGGAGAACTGATTGGCTTTGAGCTGGCACCCAAACACGACCCTCAAGAAAGGGACACACTGGATTATGGTGTGGTAAGATTAATTTTGTAATTAATCTTTATTTGATGGCCTAGCTTCATGCCTTGTATGTAATGTAATGTCATTGACATAATGGGAAAATAAGCTGACAACTAAAAGACAACATTTGATTACAATGGGTCAGAGTGCTCAGACTATTTAAGTGTTAAAAAAATGTTGCATTCCGTATCTTAATTAAGACAGGATGAATTTGAGTTCTGCCGTAAAATCTGACTAACGTTTTGAGTCGACACAAATAATCATATTAAATATTAATAATATTATATAGATAAATGGGCGTGTCAACACAAAGAATCACATCATTAAATATCATATAAATAAATGGGTGTGGCTACAATAAGAATCATGTCATTAAATATCATATAAATAAATGGGCGTGTCAGCACAAAGAATCATATCATTAAATATCATATAAATAAATGGGCATGTCAACAAAAAGAATCATATCATTAGATATCATATAAATAAATGGGTGTGGCGACACTAAGAATCGTATTAAATATTAATAATATTATATAAATAAATGGGCATGTCAACACTAAGAATCATATCATTAAATATCATATAAATAAACGAATGTATTGAAGACCATATCCAACAAATAAATTTTTAATCCTTACATGTTACTTTTTCTTGTGTCAGGTAAGAGTGAAGAGCGGACAAGAGTTTGAGGTAGCATTTGCTTTTGTCATCAACTGTGCAGGACCATGGGCAGCTGATGTGGCAGAGATGGCTAAAATAGGGTTAGGAGAGGATGATATGTCGGTACCACTCCCTGTAGAGCCCAGGTCAGTTGTACTGAAATTAGCATGAATTTTTAGCACAAATATTCTTGTAGAGCCCGGTTTATTTGTACTGTAACTGTAATAAGCATAAATATACTTAGCACATCAATTCTTATATAGCCTAGGTACAACTGAACTCATACATAAAACAGCAGAACTCTTAAAAAGGATATCTACCAAGAAATTCCTTGTTACTGTTGGCTCGTGTTACAGCCTAATGCAAGTTTTTTTATTGTAATTCATGTGAACACAAAAATTTTGTACTTGTGTTTGGGATAAAATGGTGGATAAACCACATAATTTTATTGAGCCCAAAAGTTGTAAATTTAATGTTGGGATTTTTCAGGTTGCATTTTAAGAAATCCCTTATATTAACCTCGCTTTTGTTTGTGTGTTTCTAAACTGGCAAATCTTCAGACGGCTAATTGACCCACTTCCCATCAACCTCTCGTTGGCAGATACATTTTAAACATTTATGTTTTCTTTCCTCTCTTAAAGGAAACGGTTTGTTTATGTAACACACTGTCCTGATGGGCCTGTGCTTGACTGTCCATTCGTCATCGACCCATCCGGAGTGTATGTTCGCAGGGAAGGTTATGGCGGACACTACCTTTGTGGAAGCTCGCCCGCAACTGAGGTTACTGGAATTAATTAGCCAGATAATGGGTGTGATTAACAGAGACAATGTAACACATATTTATTTTAAAGGCTATTAATGTTAGATTAACACCTTCTCATACACATGTATGTACCAGGTAAATGCATAAACTCTTTTGCTGCGGCACAATGCACAGTGCGTTCATCCGCGCGCTAAAAAGCACGGACCAACACGCTGTGTGTTGTTTCAATATCATGGTTGTTTCTTTGCTATTTCTTGGTTAAACTTTTTAAGGGCTATTTTTTAATTATACTTTTACATAGAAGAGTGGTATTTCATTGTTTATGAGTGAAACCAAGGTTTATTTTTTGTCATTTGAAGCATTATTTTATTAATATTCTTGACTGTTTTTTTTTATATCGATACTGTTATGGCTACCCAGGCCCTAGTGGGGTAAGTTTCCTAGCTTTGGAAATGTTTTATACTATTTCTTTTGAAAGTGAAGTTGATTTAGATTTAGATCCATCTCATGATTCTGATAGAAATAGTTTCAGAGGGTTTGAGTTATGGCAGTGAAGATGATGTATGCCTACATCAAAGGGACTTGTGGAAAAAATGGCTTTGCTTATCATGTTTTCACATTTTAAGTTTCTTTTCTGTCGCTGATTTTATTTGAACTGAAGAAGTAAGTTCACAAACATATACTCCATTTAATTATCTTTCATTTGAAATCACATTTAAGTTTTACAAACCAAACAATAATATTTAAAATATTTTTTTTTAATAAACCCATCCTCTCACTCTTTTTTGCTCTTTGAAAAAAATTCTGCAGCAAAAGAGTTAACTTACACTTCAGCCAACATCAGTCACAGATGTGTTATTACAAACATCAGTTAAGAATGTTATGCTATTTGGTGCGATTTATTCCTACACCCTACAATGCATTTCTATTCCAGGCACAAGAACCAGACATTGCTAACTTTGACGTGGATTACGACTTCTACAATGACGTGGTCTGGCCAGGCCTGGCAAAGAGAGTCCCAGCATTCAATGAGTCGAAGGTTAAGCATTTGTTTAGTATAGATGTTGTGATGGCTTAAAGGTTGTACGTTGCTTCGTATGAAGTTATAGTAATTGGAAAATAATTATTGGTTGATGATTGACCAAATGTAACAACTTAGACTTAGTTCCTCCCATGCTGTGTAGTGCTTTATGCCACACTGTGTAGTGGTTTAAGCCAATCTTTGTGGTGCTTTGAGCCACACTGTGAAGTGCTTTGAGCCACACTTTGTAGTGGTTTGAGTCTTCTTCTTCTTCTATATCTTAAGGGCCCACGATCAATTTATTGATCATTTTGGCTCCTATGCATGTAGATGGGATTTGAAATGTTTCTGTTCCTGGTGTTGATGAGGAAATTTCATAGATTTCCAGTGCCACTTTGTGAGGGAATCATGCACTAGGGGTTAGAAGGCTTGAGGCAATAGATACAAATGTGTCTAGTGTTGTCGCCTCAACCGTTCCTTTTGAAAGATTGTTCCAGTCCCTGATTGTCTTGGGCAGGAATGAGCAGCTCCTATACTGGCTTCTTGCTGGTATGAGCCTGAATTGCCTGCCATGGCCTCGTCGCTGTCTATGGGGGAGAGGGACGAGTTTCTGTTTAATACTGGAACAGTGGACCAGCCCATTATTTATCTTGTACATCATGGAGAGCCTGGATTGTCGTCGTCGTTTCTCCAATGGTGACCAGCCTAGTGTTTCTAGCATGCTGCCAACACTAGAGGTATTCCTGTAGCGGTTTAGGACAAAGCGTGCTGCTCGTCGCTGGACCGCCTCCAACCTGTCAATGCTCTTCTGGGTAAATGGGTCCCAGACTGAAGATGCATAATCTAAAATCGGACGGATAAAGGCTTTATATGCTCTTTCTTTCACACAGGAGTTGCCAATCTTTAGATTTCGCCTTAAGAACCCCAAGGCTTGGTTTGCTTGGTTACATACATTGTTAATATGCTCGTCCCAGCGGACCTCTCTTTGAATGGTAACACCCAGGTACTTTACGGAGGAAACTTGCTCAAGAATATGGCCGTGCAGTTTGTATTGGTAGTGTAGAGGAGTACAACTTCTAGAGATTGATAGTGTCTGGCACTTGGCAGGGTGAAATTCCATGTCCCAGCTCATCTCCCACTCAGCTAACAGATTGAGATCCTGTTGTAGCTGGTCCTGGTCAGATCTGTTGGCGATCGTCCTATACACTGCTGTGTCATCTGCGAACAGTCTTGCCTGTGATGTTAGTTTCTCGGGTAGGTCATTAATGTATGCTAGGAACAAACAGGGGCCCAAGACTGATCTCTGGGGGACCCCTGACTTCACATCGACAAAGGAGGAGCTTGTACCGTCCACCACTACTGCTTGGCGTCGGTGGCTGAGGAAGCTAGAGATCCATGTTTTAGTGGTGCCTTGAATCCCATATTTCTGGAGTTTGTGTAAAAGCAAACTATGATTCACACGGTCAAATGCTTTTGCGAAGTCCATTACTAGCACATCAGTCTGCTTGTGGTTCTCCAGATTGGTCATCAGGTCTTCTACAAATTCGAGAAGCTGGGTCAAATTGTGAAGTCCTTTGAGCCACACTGTAGTGCTTTGAGTCACACTGTAATGCTTTGAGCCACACTTTGTAGTGGTTTAAATCAATCTGTGTAGTCCTTTAAGCCACACTGTATAGTGCTTGAGCCACACTGTGTTGTGGTTTGAGCTACAAGGTATTGTGGTTTGAGCAAAATTGTGTAGTGTATTCAGCCACACTGTGTAGTGCTTTGAGCCACACCATGCAATGCTTTGGGCAACTATTGATTTCCACCTTTCTTAGCCTACTGCTTCTAATATCCAACTTATCCAGGTCCCTTTGATTTATCTCCCTTGAAGTCTTCCCTGCCTCCTCTTTCCCTTTGGATGACGTCCAGTGTATTGCCCTTTGAGCCTTGCGCTGCTGTGGTAGATGTGCCCAGCAAATAGCATTTTGCGCAGAGCAACTATTTATTCCACGATATGTGATCCCTTTTTTTTTTTCCAAGTCTTATCTTATTCCTTACAAGATTATACTAAAAAAAAATTAACTTTGACTATTGGTAATTAGGCAGTTAATTTTTTTTTTTAAAGTTTATTTCTATGGGGGCAAATTATTTAATTAGCAGGTTGCCTATATTTTAAAAAGATTAAATTTTTTAACAAAAAGGATTACATTTTTTTTAGATCTTTCAAACACAACTTTAAATAAATATGTAAATATTTGTTGAGTATTATAATCAAAGGATTTCAAGTTCAGAATTATCAGCTAAGAATTACCACTAAAGGAGATAATCCTGAATTTTTTTTTTTATTGATTCTGACAGCTGAAGTCAGCCTGGGCTGGTTACTATGACTACAACTTCTTTGACCAGAACCTTATCATTGGGCCCCACCCGCGGATGAAGAACTTTATCTTTGCCAATGGACTCAGTGGCCACGGACTGCAGCATTCCATCGCTGTGGGCCGGGCCCTCATGGAGCTTATACAGGACGGGGAGTACAAGACAATCAACTTGGAGAAGTTTCACTTTGATAGATTTCTGACAAATACAGCTATTCAGGAGCAGGGGATCGTATAGACAGGTGGAACACACAAGGAATTTTGGTTTCTGTTAGAACACTCGAGGAATTGTGTTTTCTGATAGAGCTTACAAGGAAAGGCATTATCTGAAAGAACACACAAGTAAGTGTATTGTCTGATAGAAAACACAATGAACTGTACTTTATGAAAGAACAAGCAATGAACTGTATTGTCTGTGGAACAACAAGAAATTGTCTGGTCTGACAGAACACACAAGGAACTGTGTTGTCTGTGGAACTTACAAGTAACTGTATAGCCCATGCAAGGCAACATTCATATGTTGACAGACATATTATTTTGTAATAAATTACTCCAGCGAATATTTGAAGTGAGATTGGCCAGGTCTAAGGCATGGGTTGCTAGTGACTCGAGATAGTTGCTTGCAAAATGAATTCATTTTTGTGTGTGTCTTTAACTGATTGAGAAACATGGGCCAGTGGCTGCCATTGAAATGTTCAGATATCTACGCTCACAAGTGTACAAGTATATGGGACGATGTTAATGGAATGATTTTTAGTTTTAGTGTATGTATCTTCGTCTCCAAATCAGTAACTGTAAGTCTTGATTGAAGATTTGATATTACTTCCCCTGTTGTTGTTTTCTTACACTCTGGTTGCCATAGCCCAGTAAAAATTAGAGAGGTTGCATTGTTTGATGCGAGTGATGAAATATCAAGCAGTCAATGTTGTTGATGTACATATAATTATAAACAGATTGAATTAAGTTGATTTCTGTGTAAATACATTTTGTATTATACCATTAAACAATACATATAACCTTGACATGGTTTGAGTTGAGTTATTTTGGTTGAAACATGCTATGAAAATGAAAAGAATGATGGGTAGTTTTACTGGGTGGAACATTCATTAAGACTCTCCTTTTCAAAATTAAAACTCACACTCAGTAACTCTGTAGTTAATCATACAGCACAATCATTGATTATTGACAAAAGTCTTGCTACACACTTATTTGAAGTTGAAGGAATGAGGAAAAAAACTAAATGATTTTTCAGGACTGAAAAAAAATGTGTGATAAATGAAATGAAAAAGAACAAAAAATTCCATATATTTGGATCAATAAGTATCTTATCTTAATAACTTAGGCCTGGTGCAATGAGTTCTTGTTTTATCTCTTAAAAAAACAATAAAACTGAAATGAACATTTTATTTTGGTTCATTATGGTCACCAGTTTTATTCAAAATTTTCATGGATTGCAAAATAAATAAAAAATAATTATTGCTCTGGTCTATTCATACTGTAACTATGACATTGGCTACCACTTTGGCCAGAAGTAGTGTTTTCTTTTGTAATAATAATGCAGTATGAATGAATGAAAAACATAATTTTTCCTCATATTTTAACAGTGTTTTTCTGTCCATTTGTAAAATTGTTTACTCTTTTGGAGTGCCGAAATTTTGAGTTCGCAACTCTCTCTGTGTGCAACATCAGTACAAACACTATCTTGTTGAGCATACAAATCTGCACATCTGGCGGGAATATTTAGCAGGTACCATTTATAGTCCATGACAAGCCTCTGATATATTGGTGTCATCAGTCATAGTGTGCCAGGTTTTCATGGCAACCTGTGGCCAAAACCAACCTGAGTAATGGCGGATTTGATGCTAAATCTGGATACACGCTTTAGTATTATCCATTAACATACAGCATACAATAATGCCCAGAGAGGTGTGACCTGGCAATCAAATGGAATAGCAATAATTAACTAAATATACCACTGGCCACTTTGGTTAAGAAAGAATTAAATAGCATTGGTGAGAATTTTAACAGTCAGGGAGTAGTTATTTTTAGACTGTTGACTTCATGGTTTAAAACTGTCCTAGATTGCGATCAGATTAAAAGTTCAAGCTTCATTCAGTTAATGTACATGGTGTACTTTTATGTTGTTTTCAATTTGAATACAATCCTGTTGGGTACTCAGCTTTTGTGTGAGACTCACTTTTTACTACACTTTCCGGGTAAGACTTTTTGTTTTGGGTACACTGCTTTTGTGTGAAACCCATTTGATAGGTGCAGTGCTCTTATGTGAGAACCACTTGTTAGGTACAATGCTCTTGTGTAAGACCCACTTGTTAGGTAAATCTCTTGTATGATACCCACTTGTTAGTGTAGAGCTTCATATTATGAAAGCCAATAGAGGCGATGAAAATGCTCAACTAGTGATGAAGATTAGCAAACGAAACGGCTCAACTAGTGATGAAGATTAGCCAATGAAACGGCTCAACTAGTGATGAAGATTAGCCAATGAAACGACTTAACTAGTGATGAAGATTAGCCAATGAAACGGCCCAACTAGTGAAGATTAGCCAATGAAACGGCTTAACTAGTGATGAAGATTAGCCAATGAAAATGCTCAACTAGTGATGAAGATAAGCCAGTGAAAAGGCTCAAGTAGGGATGAAGATAAGCCAGTGAAAAGGCTCAAGTAGTGATGAAGATAAGCCAGTGAAAAGGCTCAAGTAGTGATGAAGATAAGCCAGTGAAAAGGCTCAACTAGTGATGAAGATAAGCCAGTGAAAAGGCTCAACTAGTGATGAAGATAAGCCAGTGAAAAGGCTCAAGTAGTGATGAAGATAAGCCAATGAAAAGGCTCAACTAGTGATGAAGATAAGCCAATGAAAAAGCCCACTTAGTGATCAGAATGACCAATGAAAAAGATTCATCTAGGGGATAAAGATTAGCCACCGACAAGGGTTCACGTCGCCCAGGCCTGCCCAACATACGGCCCGCATGCGGCCCGCCAGCACCCAATTTGCGGTACGCGAAGTAACAAAAAATTGTTTATTAATAATATAATTTTCTTAATAGATTTCCCTCCTGTCCTATTTTCTTTCGGCCCGCACAAGTTTGTCATTAAGTATTTGTCATTATTTTAACATTTAAATGTGTTAATTCTGTTTTTTTGTGAGCATTTGGGTAATCGAAATGAACTGTAGTCGAATACAATGACATCAACTTTTAATAAGTTCATTCACGATAGACCAGCGGTTCTCAACCTGTGGGTCGCGACCCCTTTGGGGGTCGCACGACCCTTTTCAAGGGGTCGCCTCAGACCATCTGAAAACACATATGCTCTACATTTATGAAGTAGCAATGAAAATAATTTTGTGGCTGGGGGTCGCCACACCATGAGGCACTCTATTAAAGGGTCGCGGCATTACAAAGGTTGAGAACCACTGCGATAGAGCAATCATTCAAGACGTGTAATTATAAAACAAGCCGGTTTATAGGAATCAACAGTGTTATCACATCATGAACATGTTGGTAACATGACATGAGAGCCAACGTTGAAGTTTTAGCGATGTGGCACCTCAGCCAACGTTGAAGTTTTAGCGATGTGGTACCTCAGCCAACGTTGAAGTTTTAGCAATGTGGCACCTCAGCCAACGTTTAAGTTTTAGCGATGTGGCACCTCAGCCAAGGGTGAAGTTTTAGCGATGTGAGGAAATGGTGAAGTTTTTGTGATGTGAGGAAATGGTGAAGTTTTAGCGATGTGAGGAAATGGTGAAGTTTTTGTGATGTGACGGATGAGCCAATGGTGAGGAGTACAATAATTATTGTTTGATACTCCACGGGTATTATACCACAGCTAAATCATTTGGGTTCAACTGTGGTTTGGGTTCAGTATTTACCCAGGGTGGCCTGCTGGGGGCGCCAGAAGTAATTTCACTCTCTATGTCCACGTAGTTTTTTTCTTCCTCTTTTGTAAAGGAGGGTAAATATTATATGAATGAATTTACCCCCCCCCCAACCCCCGAGTAATCTATTCATATATTATATATATGTTAGTTTTATATTACTGTCTTTAGTTTATATATTACTGTCTTTGTTTTTAGGCTAATCTGTTCATTTCATTGTAGTTTTCATTAATGCAGACACCCAAGGCTCTATAGAAGATCATATTCCTGTATGATATGAAAAGCATTAATAACTTGGTTTTTCTCTCTACTTGAGTGCTTAATGACCCACAGCACTCCCCACCACACAGGCCCCAGCCCCTATGAAAAAGAGGCAACTCATTATAACACATTGCTGATAGATGCTAATGAATTCACTGTGAAAAAAATATGAAATTTGATTATTTTTATGGCACAGATGTGGATGATGATATCACTGTTAGATCAAGTCAAAGCAGAGGGGCTACAAAACCCAATTTCTTCTCTTCAACCCCACTACACTAGCCCCACTATAATAGCCCCACTATAATAGCCCCACTACACTAGCCCCACCACAGTAGCCCCACCACACTAGCCCCCATACACTAGCCCCACTACACTAGCCCCACCACACTAGCCCCACCACTATAGCCCCACCACACTAGCCCCACTACACTAGCCCCACTACACTAGCCCCACTACACAAGCCCCACTACACTAGCCCCACTACACTAGCCCCACCACACTAGCCCCACCACACTAACCCCAC